TAAACATTATTTTATTTCAATTTATACAACATAAATATATGCAGTAAGCATATACAATCACACTGATATATTTCGTAGATGGGAAAACAAGTCAAATGTGACTTATGTAAATTCTTTTCCTTACATAAGATACTTGCAATAAAAAATATGGACATATTTGGTTAGAATAATACAGAAAAAACAAATTAGACAAGTAATTAAAATGAATAAATGATTTTGTTTAGAATGTTTCGAAGAAAAAAAATATTTAAATAAAATTTTGAATTAAGAAAAGAGAATATAATGTCTGCATACAATATTATCGGGAAATGATGGAAGCTATGATAAACTGTTGAACTTGAATGATTTTTTCGTTCGTGTTAAAGCTCAGGCGCTCGTCTCCGTACAATAGATTGTTAGGTGTCAGGGGACATGAAAGGGGCGTAAATGCATGCTTCTGATGATATCATAACGAGGGCATGAAAAGAAAAAGCGCTGTACTGTCTTTATTTCGTCACATAAACATAATGGAGACCGGATGATAGACTTTCTATGAGGTCAAAGTTAAGGGAGCTACAATCTAAACAAAGGCATGCGTGCAATATTTGGCATATACGACTTCCTACATTGAATAAAGGGGAGGCTTTTGTTTTTTGTTTTTTATTAAAGCCTCGTTTAAAGGTAGAAACAGAAGACGAATTTCTTGTATCTATAAGGTAGGTAGTAAAATAACAAGAGATAAGAAAAGATAAGAAAAGAAAAGGGATAAGGGCTGTACGGTTGAAAAGGTGGGGGGGGGGTTAAAAATGGAAGAGGGGGGGGGAAAGAAAATATCCACCGTCAACGACAATCCAACAAGACAGACATTACAAAACATGCAAACATCCAAAAACAAGCAACAACACAGACAAGAAAAACACGCGAAGGAACACAAAGGGGTACCGCCTTGGAACGGCCAGTGGTAGTTAAACCACTGGGGAGTTTAAACCGGTTTTAGGCGCGCCAAACCTCACTCTTAGCCCCAATATGTTTCTGAATGACACGAAAATGTATATAAAATTAATCCCCGCCAAGTGAAATTCTAACAATGGCCATGGTTACATTAGACGAAATAAATAAAACACATACAACATTATGTAAATAAGTAGAAAAAGTTACAGCCTAATGACCACTACCAAAGTACTCGATGCCTTAAAGGAAGGCAGAGCAACAAGAAAATCCCCTACAAGGGCCCGACGAAGCAAGGCAGAAGACGAACATTAAGACAATTCAGTCCCAAAGGGCTTTAAGAACTGTCCATCATAGAGTCTCTCACTTGGTCCGTCAGATGTAATCAAAAGAGGTAGGCGTAGCGTCCGACTGTAAAAGGGTTGAACACCAAGCATGCGGTATGCCTTAAAATAATTTGGTCATAACCTCTTTTAATAAACCGTTTGATAATTTTAGTGAAGACGGCAGAAAAATTACTATGACCTATGATCCTACGAAGTTTGTAAACCATATCTCCATAGAAGTCAAGCTTGCTAATACCTTAGCAAGCTCGTAAAAGAGTTTTTAAATTACAATTAAATTTTAAAACTAAGTCTGGATTAAAAACTTAATAAAATATTTACGCAATTTATGATAGCGATAACCTTGTTTAAGAAGTTTGTTAGTAATAAATAAAATGCGTTCATTAAAATCATCAACACGACTGCACGACCTAGCAAATCTAATTAATTGAGAAATATATACCCCATATGATGTAGCATAAGGTACATCTCCATCTAAATGTGGATAGAAATGTTTAAATCTAAAAAAGACGTAATTACATCTGAAGAGTTAGTTTTATTCAATAAAAGTTCACTGGGATATATTTTAGAAACAAATTGATCGAAATAAGGATTATTCATGTTAAAAATATCATCTAGGTAGCGGGAAGTGTTGTTAAATGCATGTATAATTTCCTGATGCGAAGTAGGGGAAAGACTTAACATAAAATCCCTCTCATAGCAATAAAGAAATAAATCAGCTATCGGGGGGGGGGGCACAACTAGTTCCCATTGGAATGCCTATTACCTGTTTGAAAACTGTATTACCAAACCTGACAAAAATGTTGTCTAATAAAAAAAGAAAGTGCTTTACAAACTTCGTCACAGGTCCACATTGTATATTGTTTAATGATAACATTGGTAAAGAAAGCCTTCTTTGAATTGCAAGCAAGAAACGTGACCTGTTCTCTTGCAAATGTTTTTTTGAATTAAAGATAATAATTTATCATATATAAGATTATGTGGCAATGTTGTATATAAGGTAGAGAAATCGTAAGTTCTTACAGATGAAGCTTGATAATTCTTCACTTTAAACATATCTAAAATTTCAGTTGAATTTTTAATAGACCAAAAAAGATTTTTGCCCGTATTTTCATAAACTGTCAGAATCTAATTACATGTGTCTTGATGGCAGTAAGACAAGAAGTCCATAAAATAGAATGATTACTGGTAGTACAAGATAAAGAATTAGCAATAAAGCGGGCTTTATATGGATGTTTATGTAATTTAGGAATCCAGTACATGATAGGAAGTTTAAGCTCTTTCTCATCAACACGTACTTTAAAGTTAGAAATACTAGAAATATGACTGTTTACAATATATCTTTCAGAAAGAAATGTTTTGGAATAAGTATTAGTGCTGTTAAGTTCATTTTGTAAAAAAAATATAAAATAAATACGTCATACGATAATTATATTATTGGCCGCCTTGTCAGCCGGAACTAAAACAAATTTAGAGTGGAACGCTAATTTATCCCGTAAAGTAAGTCTAGGTTTGGGTGGTAAAAGATGTTCATTCCCACGGTAAAATTCAATGCGTGATTCAATAATATTAAATATATTATGTTTCCATGAATTAAGTGCATTACTATCGGCATTATCGCGACGATACCATTTTACTGAAAAGTCCTCGATCGATTCAGCTATCTGACTTCGTCAAGCATTAAAATCAATATCGGAAGGAATTCTATATTTTGGTCCTTTTAGAAATAAATTACGGACTCTCTTGTCGTTTATTATATGGCCAAAATCCAAGTTACAGAATTAAGAACTTTTTCAGTCACAACTAGTTGGTGTATTAGACTCAACGTCTAGGTCGGAGAAAATTTTGTTATAATTTAATATGATATTTCTGACAGGTGTTTTATATTTATAGCAAATAATTGGAATCTCAGAGTTTTTGAAATATTTAGGAATCGCGTCGGTAACGCGTTTATCACGAAAAATACTAGGTAAATTGATGAAATCAATACCTTTGTTTAGAAAAGTAACTTTAAGAAAGTGCCTGTCATGTTCAGCGGTGGTGTCGATATGATGTCTTAAAATATGCTGTTTAAAACTTTGTATAAGGTACGCTGCAGTATATAAAGGATCAGTTTGGATAACTATGTTATCAGCTTCTTCGTCTAAAGTTTTAAGAGACCTAAGAGAAAGAGAGGTTAGACGTGATTACATAGCATGTCTACCCGAATTAGTCAAGATGTTATTTAAATCGGAAACAGACATAGTAATTTTTGACTTTCGTTTGATGTTACCAATTTTACGTATTCCATGAGATCGAGATTTCCGCTTCCGTATGTTAAGAATAGAAAAAATGTCAATACTTGGATCTTAAGAAATATTACCTTGTTGAAAGATATTGTCATTAAGGCCAAGTGGAAAAGGGGTTTGTAAATTTTTAATCCATTTCCACTCAGCTAAGTTTCTTGCTTTTACTGTAAAACTAGACGATGTATCAGAATCGTAAATAATTTGTTCCACTGGTTGAATTGTTACATGTTAAAAAGAATGGCCAACTTTTCTAAAGTGTTGATATAAAAGAGTAGTAAATTTGCTACGATTTCTCATTTTATAGAAGTGTTCTCGGAATCTAATTTTAAGAGAGCGTCCTGTTTGCCCAACATACTGAATGCCGCAACCGGGAGCATTTCATGTTAACACATAAATAAAATGCGTTGACTTTCATTAAGTGAAGCTTGTGGTGAATCTGCTGTTTTATATAATACAGTTTATAGATGGATTAGGCGATCTGCAGATGGAAAATTTGATGTTTCCGATGACCCCCCCATAGCGGACGGCCAGTTGAGGTTACAGGCAAGTTCCATGTTGAAAAAGCTTGGGACCAACTGAATGAAGATCGGCGATTAACATGCGAGGAGTTAGCTGAAAGTCTTGGTATTTCTGTTTGGTAAATTCATACAATTCGGACTCGTCATTTGCGAATGCACCGAGTTTCTGCAAGATTGGTGCCATATCATTTCACGCGGGACTAAACGACGGACCGGTTAGTGATTGCAGAAAATCACTTAAACAGATGAAAATGTAGGCGACCGCATTTGTGCAAACGATGAGAAATGACTTCGTAGCTATGAGCCCGAATTAAAGTCACAGTCCTCCGAATGGCACATGTAAGGGTCGTCAATGCCTGAACAATTTCGACGAGAACAATGGAACCTGAAACAGCTCGTAATTGTAGCCTATGATAATGGCGGTTCATTGGCGTCGGATTGGACATACAGTATTATGAAACATTTTTAAAAGAGAAATTAAGACCAAAATTAAGATCAGGAAAATATTCATGACAACGCAACTCCGCATAAATTACACCAAGTGACGTCAAAAATTGAATAATATTAACTGGGAAGTGTTGCCCCATCTCCCCTTTTTCGCGAGACATGAGTACCTGTGACAATGACTTTTTTCCTAAACTCAAAATGCCACTCAGGGGTGTGAGATTTAATGACTTAGAGAGACAGTTGCCGTGGCCACGGAGCTTCAAAGTATCACATGCGGCTGCCTAGCAACCGGAATTGCCGATCTTCCGAACAGATGGAAAGCGCTTGTAAGGGTAAGTTACTTTAAAGGAATATAGATACGGTAGGTGTGAATCACTATAATTTTCTTAAAATAAGGCCATTATCAGAACTTATGGAATGACCCGCGTACCAAGCATTTTTACAAGTTCTTGTGAAAAGATACACAAAATTCGACATGATATTCTTTTCTATCAAATGTATATTCTGTAAATTATTGTATTCTACCATTTGTCCATTCTTTTAATTGTCGTATTCTTTAAAATATTTTTCGACGTTATGTCGTACACCGATATTCTATCAACACTGTATATCTGCGCTATAACATGTAAATTGAATATTAAATAGATACATACTGATTTCAAATATGTTAGATAATAATTTATTGTGTTTCATAATTATTACCACTTATCAAATACTGCAGTTTTACACTATCAAAGCCGAATAACAAATAAAATGTTATAGCATCACCAAGTGCGAAAACATTCATAGAATGTAATTCCCTACCCTACACCATTCTGATAACACTACTACACCCGGCCCTCGAAACAGTATCAAATATTTAGTTCTAACATCATAAAATTTGTACAAAAAGTACACAGTAGTAAAATATTATGTATCAGTTGTTTGGATATCTGGTGGTGCTGTCCTTGAAGAATTCGGGGAGCAGACCGGAATGGTGGCAAACTCTTCACTTCCGATTGCTTCTTCTCTCTTCAAATTGTGTTCACCGTTTGGGCTCGTTGGCGTTAGGTATATTTCACTGGCTGAAATTTCAGGAATGAACGGTTTAAAAGCTCTGATCAGAGTTTCAATAACATTAACATTAATTGAATAGTATATGGTGAATATTAAGGTAATTTATATCTAAGTAGCTCCCCCGATGTAATAAAAGAAAATTTATTGCTTTAAAAGCACAAATTGGGCACCATAAATTAAAGAAGGGGCCAAATTAAGGAAAAAAACTTAAATCGGACATTGGAAAAGGGCTTTTTTGTAAAAAAAAAATATTTTAAAAAAACACTAGACGGTCATCGTCTTCAAGCAAACAAACATAAAGAAAAAATACCTCGTTTTCGTGTTTCCCTCAGTTTCACCAAACGTATCACCAATACGACAACAGCTATTAATGCGATTGCAAGAAACACACCAAGAACTATCATTCCAACATTCAACGACCTAAAACACAACATACGTCAAAGTTTAATATATTTTCTTAAAACATACTTTCAACAACCGATGTTTGTTTTTTCTGTTTGCGATGGTATACGGATTGTTTGATATTCTTTTGTGATAAAACAAAATATGAGAAACTGATTTAAATTTAAAGTATATAAGAGCATACAAAGTATATAAGAGCCATGTCTTTTGCAGACCGGAATGGTTTGACTCGTCGTTTCACAAATGTCTAGCTATTTACAAACTGTAATTTATCAATAAATGAAATAAAAACGTATAACACGCATATGTTACATATGTTACATACTCTTTTTTTCCTGTGTGTTTAATTGGACTTTTGTCAGACTTGAAGCATCCACTGCACGCCGGCTCGCTTGGACATGTTGATTCAATCTGGTTACCACTTGGATTCACAATCAGATCTTTCTCAAACGTAAACGTCCCTTCCAATGGATAACGCCCGACCTAAGAATGACATACCATGTATTCACAATGTATACATACTTAACTGGGGTATGTTTAATTATTAAATCAGTAGGAGAAACGGCATATGTATTATATTGAATATAAATTTTTGGTTGTGACGGAATCAAAGAGCCCTTCATGGACATACTTGTACAACGAATAGCACTGCATTCTTTAATTTTATTTACTGAACTCGACAATACGTTCAACATTTAATTTGCAAACTAATTAAGTTGTCTTAACAGACTGCGCCTGATTTCACATCAAAATAAATACCTAAGAATACGAGTCAATATATCTCAAGATTTAAAATACCTCAGTGTAAATCAAAATTTGTGGGTCATCGTCTTTTTGAATGTTGTAAATTCTGTAACCAATATTACCATTGCCGTTGTCACTGAAAACTTTTATCTTGTTTCCTGATCCATCCAGATCAAGCTTCGTACCCTTAATTGCTTCAACAAAACCTGGCATCATAAAAAAGGCATTTATTGTAAAAGATTTCTTCTAACATCAGTTGATATGAAATAAAATCAATGCCGAGATTAAATTATAGAACGTACCTTTAAATGGCAAGTCAACAAGTCAAACATACTGGTTCTGAAGTCTTTGTGCAATCGTTCTAAAATTAGGTCTCAAGAATGTACCTCCATTAGGCCCAATATTCCCATGACGATATTTCGTTTCTTAAAAAGAAACCTATAAATGCATGATGGCGCAAGAGGTAGGATTTAACGTACCCTTTTGCCCTTTTGATATAATTTATATACTAAAACATCTCGATAGCATGCGTATAACTGGGACCTTTTCTTATAAAAGTATGGCAAATCTGTTTCATTTTTTTACACACACACCCACCCACCCACACACAAATACAAAATTCAAAACAACTGAAAGCAAGATGAACAGAAAGGCAACTTTTGTGACGATTCATTCTTTTTAAGTTTAAATTTATTTTTAATGCAAAAAAGCTTCATGCCCTTTAAAACATTTACCCTTTGTATCTTCGGTGAATTCCCCGCAAAGAACATTCGTGCTTTTGCCACACTTGTATCTGAGAAAATTATTGCCGCCAATTAGAAGAGACTTCGTTGCAACATAGGCGGCAGTAGCCCAAGAATCCAACGTAAAGTCGCTACCAAAGTTGTTGTCATCTTTTAAAGAACACATCTTATTCTTTGTCTTGTCAAAACTTAGATCAAAGTAGCAATTTCTTTTCTCTTGTAGATACAATGTTGACCAGGGATTCTGATTAAATGGCTTTGGAGTGAGATTATAAATATGCGTGCGCAACTCATTGTCCTCATACATTTCAAGAGAAAGCGTAAAAGAACCTAGAAGATTTTGTTTACTGTCCGTTTTCAAAGGATCCCGTTTCCGGGCCCATGCTTCAGAACCAATAAACATGAATTCTCCTCTTGTATTAATCTGAGCAGTCAAGGCTGACAGCACAGGAATTACACGATGGGACCGCAGAAATATAATGACAATACGTGCGTGAGTGTACAACCGCAACTTTTCAAATATTCCAAATCCACTATCAGTTTCGTCAACAGCAATTTCCTGAACTACACAAATTTTGCTTTTAAACGCCTCCTCTTTAATTTTATCCTTCCCTGCTTCACCGTATGCGCCAGTGCTATAAACAATCTGAACATAGTTAGACTCAAGCTTTTGAATAATTTCAATTATAGCTCTTGCTTGGGCATCATCTGGAGTAACAACTCTCATAAAATATGGATATTTAGATCTGTCACTGAGAAAGGGACTTGTAGAAGCAAAACTTAACTGTACAAAACGTAATCTTGAGAGCAATTCTGCCACAGCAATGCTAATACTGCTTCCTATGTCTCCAATAAATCCTAATATTCTGTCACTTAGATCTAATACAGATCCGTCCGCCATTTGTACACCATTATGAATAAGTTTAAAAATCTTCCTTTGAATAATGACTGGATCGTTACACGAATTCAAAACAATTAGACCAATCTTTAAATCGGGAAAGAAGCCAGAAAAATCGCCGGTTTTCGTATTGACTTTCTTCACAGCAAATCTTATTGATTCAGCAGTTTGGTATCCACTGACGATACGAATTTGTCCACAACCATCTCCAGAGGTGCTGTCACTATCAAACACTGCAATCACACCCACAACATATATATCACCTGGCTCAAATATGATACTTTCGCGTAGCTCTTCAATATTGATGCACTCTTCACACTTTGTACGAACCATGCACTGTGCCTTTCGTATATTTGGCCATACTAGCTCCTCGTCACTGATCGTGTAGTCTCTAAGCATCTCTTTGTTTATGGTTATGTCGTTATCTAAATGATCACTGACCTTAACAAAATAACAACAATTATATTTCTCATCTCACAAAATGAAATTATTAAAAATTAAAATTTGAATTTTAAATAAAATGAAAAAAGTAAATATCGTCTTTCCAATTCTGTTTTCATAATAACGGTGATTGAAGCTTTCTGGATTTTGAAAATTAATATTGAAAGTGTTAGTTCCTTAGTAACCCATTTTGACGTCAAAATGGCAATCTTGCACAAACTTATTCAAGTATGAAGAATCTAGAATTGTTTTCCAAAGAATTCCAGAGGAAGATAAACCGATATTACATAAACAGTTGACTTCAACGGTTAGCTGATAAGTGTGAATATAGCAACAAATTCACATAACTCAACCATCTATTTAACAAATCTTTCAGAACAAAGAACCATTTTAGTTACATTTACTGATCAAAATTACTGAAACACATATATAAACATTCGACAAACTGTTTTCTATATTATTCGTTTATCTTGATTTCATCGGACGTAATGAACAATATCAATACCTCAATAAGCCACCAATCAATAAGCCTGGACAATATAATCACATTGTAATTAATATAATTGTAGATTAGTTGAAGATCTTTAAAGTAATACCACCTTTATCAGCTCAAATTCGGTAGAAAGTTCATTATTCTTCCGGAAATTGAAAACATCGTATAAGGAAAGGTCTTTGTGTAGAGTTTCTGTGCTGTTTAGTTGAAGCTTCCGGTCTGATAATGACGGTAATCTGCAATGCAAATGTATCATTAGAGGGATGCAGGGATCATCTTAAATGAGAGCATCTTTAATAACTGTTTATAACTGATTTAGTTAAAATTAAATTTCGAGTCATTTCGTATGTTTCCTTTGGCACCTCTATAACCTTTTGCACACACAATTCATATATTTAAATTGTCTGTCTTATTATGAAGCAGATTACTTCATATATTGTAATATCGAATTCATTTGTATACAATGAAATATTTTACTAAATATTAAAAGAGAAAAATGCCTGTAGTTATACAAAGAACTTACTTCCATTGAAAATCCTTTCCAAGGTCTATGTTAATATTTTTTAGGATATTTAGAAGATCGCCCGAACGAAAATTCGTTTTAAAAGCATCACAGAATACCGAAGACGGGCAGTATTTGTCATGGAGTTCTCTTGTCCCCTTAACAAGTGTATGAGCAGCAATAATGGCATACTGCACGTATAAAATTTGTGCTTCAAACGCTTGGGCATAATCACTCTCTGTCAGTGGCGTAAACTCACAGTTTCTTCTCTCACACTCTGTGATTTCATAATATAAATCCATAAGCCATGGGTTTGTCATAACTTCCTTTTCAAAATACGTTTTGTTTGTGAATATTGATCGCCAATGGGACATGAACTCAATGATTTCCTGATAATTAGGCGCAAGAACTAGAGATCCTTTTGACGACTTAAGCGTCGACCCAGAATTATACTGAAACACGCTTGTCTCCATGTTGATACCTTCCGACAACATGACAATAGGATGAGATGCAAAGCCCGTATTTTCTAAGGCAATAAATATAGAACGAGCAAATGAACTTGAACCAATGTAAACTATTCCATTTATTGTTGCTCTATTTCTGGTACCTATTGTAATGTCGCTAATCAAGGAGTTGAAAAAATCTCCACTTGTTTCTACCGGGATAGCGCTAGTCATAGATGTACAAATACTCTCCTCGTTTGCTCTCAAAATGAGACTGTTGCTAGCATCCCGACCGTAAGTATCGTTGACATAGATGATGGCAATTCTGTTCCATTCGAGAGATTTCATCGTCTTGATCATCACCTGTAAAATATACGTGAACACCTGCATTAGATCTATAAAGAAAAATCTGAAATAGAGACACTCAGGGTTATGTAGTGTATTGATAAGCATACTTAACCGGCAATCTAGATAGCCGGTTTCTATACCTCTTAAAAAAGAAAGTCATGATCGATAATTTACATTCATAGCTCATGATCATTTCTTTCTTCCGTTCATATAATATTGGCGATATTGAAATACAAACATAAAGGTGTAGCCATACATTAGACAGCATACAAACTTCGCATTCTACTTATAGCATAAAATATACAAATGAATGAAATCGTTGAGTTGTTATCATGAAAGATGTTTGTGCTTGTTTATGGAGATTATCGAAAATTTAATTTCTAAAGTTGTTTTTATCCCCTTAACTGTACTACATGGATAACATATTTCAAATTTGTAAGATTAGAAGATTTTGCTCCAATCAAAGCTTGTCCTACACATATTTAAAAGACAAATTTTTGAGCGGTTAGTCTCACGAATGACCCACTGGGAGTGTTTCAAAAGATAATGCATTAGCACTAAAATCTCAAATGACACATATATAATGACGCCAAAAGATGAAAAAAAAACTGAAATCTGTGAATTTCAGTGGCCATTTTGAAAATGAATAGTTAGTAGCTCTTGTCATTATAAAAATAAAATTTTAAGAATAGTTCTAAAATACATTTTGGCAAAAAAAACGAGACCACCAATAAAGTCAACGATCCTGATCATCCTGTAAGTTTACTCATGCGCATTAAATAGAAAGACGCACCAAAAAATCCGAACTTATCAGGTACCCTCAGTTTATGTTGTTCAATAAGTGTCCACTATTTTGAATAATCATTAATGTTTCCAATTGATATAATGTTTATAATTTACATATACATTTGTATATTGTTCAAATTTTTTTAAAAATATAATTGCCTTCCGATTGCGTAGATGTCGGAAATGAAACGTGACATGTTCATTTAGGTATAAACATATATACATGTACATTTAATAGTGTTCCTTTTTTCAAGATTAATAGCCATTGCTAAATCTAACCAGAGATTATTCTGTGAATTGTCACAAAAGCATTTTAACGTAAGAAAGGTTACTTACGAATTGTTTTTCCGAATGTTCAGTGTTTTTTATCCAGTGTTTACAGTATTTCCCTCTGTATGTATTGCAAATCCGTGATTTTATTATACCAACAAAATGTTCTCATTTATAAACTTTCGTTTTAAAATTCCGTTTTGATTAAACTTAAATTGTTGTTTCTATCTAAAATGACATTTAGTATACTCATATACAGATGAACACCAGATAAAACGTTAGTTTGTTGGCTTTATACTATCCATTATCCTTTTATTTATATTTGCAAGATTTTATATGTGATTCTTTTAATGATACCGTCAAAAATGAATATGATAACACAATTTATAAAGTCAAACGTAAAAAGAAGTAATAGGGACACTTGAATAAATACTGTAAAAGAGAAGCTGTCCTACTTTGAAGAGACATCAATATCAATATGCTTATAATTCAATTTCCAATTTTGCATTTTTTTCTTAGCTACAAGAAATTATTATGTCATTGTTGTGCAAGCATTGCTAGCATTTCTATATGCATCGAATTACTTCGGCTGAGTATATTTTTTATCATTGTTGTTGTTGTTTGAGCAAATAGCGAACTGATATTGTTTGCATAAAGATGTTTTTTATTCCGTTTTTTTTTTTGTTTTTATTTATTTATTTATTTATTTATTTATTTATTTATTTATTTATTTATTTATTTATTTTTGTGCATACAAACTTGAAATTCGTCATATTTAACTGCAGGAAATAAGAACTCTATGTTGCTTAAAAGAGTAAAATGCACAAAAATGTAGAAAAATGAAAAAAATACCAACGGAAAGACACGGACCATAATGCTATATTTGTTAAGTTGAAGGTCCAATGGTCTTTCAGAAGATTTAAATCAAGCCAGTTTGATTGTTATTTTTTTGCGGTAAACACACAACAAAACAATTAGACAGATTTGAATTTAAACATTTTTTTTTCTTTCAAGAGGTTGAAATGTCACGGCAAACCACTGAAATAAATATATTTATTACATGCGTTTAGGTAGTTTATAGAAATGTATCAGTGATATAAAACTGGTAATTTCACTGTTTGAAACAGTGAAATTACCACTTTGATAATTTCACTGTTTTGAATTTAAGCCCCTTACGTTGTTTCAGTGAAATACCAGCGTGCACAGTACTGGGAACCAACTTAATGACGTGACGTCGTAAATGACGTCACGTTGTATTATTATTTGGCGCGCTTTTCATTCAGTATTAGGTTTAATGTCTTTTAAAAACGTTTCTTTGCATATAATAAAAAGAAAATTTGTTAAGTTTAGTGTAAGATCGAAATATATTTCACCTTGTGAACACCAAAAGTTCATATTTCACTCGTGGCTGCGCCACTCGTGAAATATACCTTTTGGTGCTCACTCGGTGAAACATATTCCGACCTTACACTGAACTTAACAAATATCCTCTATGTAATTTTTAAAAAGAAAAGAAAGAAAAAAAAAAAGAAAAGAAGAAAAAAATAAACAGAATTATTATTTTAATAGTCTAATATTATATTGGCAGAAAAAATAAACCCCGTGCTTTCTTTAAGGTATTCGCTCAATATTCGAATGATTGTTTTTACCTCTATGTATCAGACAGATATCTTTCTGATTGACAGAACCAAATGTTTGAAGTTGTTTTATCAAGGAAAACAAAAACGGAAAAGAGTAACGGAAAGAAAGTGATGTCAAGGAGAATAAAAATAAAAGGGGAATCCGATATGGAAAGAAAATTAAGAGCAAAAAAGGGCGAAGAAACAATTCAAGCAAAAGAAAGCGAACAAAGAAGAAGATGGAATATCAGATGTAGGAAGGTAATGAGAAGAAAAAATCAAAATGGGGTGAAATAATATATACGAAAGGTGAAGAATCTGTAGCAGTTCTTAAAGAATAAAAAGAAATGAAGATGGAGAATAATAAAGAAAATAAATAATATAAATGTGGTTGGGACAATGTAACTGTAAAAAAACTTGAACGTTTTGCGGACATAAAATTTATCAATATTTTAAATAAATTAATATTCTTTAGTTCTCAACATAAAATTATCGAATACAATGTACTAAACAATGAATGTGTAGTTGTATAAAAACTACCAACAACATCAAACTAGTTATCTATGATAAACCCTTTCACCTTTATCATTTTGAAAATATAATCTGGTTACAATAATCTTTTCTTAACTTAAATACGAGTATTCTTAATAATTGCTATTTGTAGCTTTACATTATTTAATATATATTATCACATTTTGAAAAATAATGTTTTTATATTCATTTTTCAATCATTTTTAATATCAATATTGTTTTTTATTATGATTCTCATTCTATGTTTTTCTATCACAATGTCATTCTTGTACATTATAAATAAATATTTATCATAACTTCTATAACAATTATATATATTTATTATATTTCAACACTTGTCTTCAACCATGTCAACACTGTTTATCTTTATTACCTTTAATGGTAACATAATCTTTTTCTACCTTAAAGAAACTAAAAAAACAAACAAAACATTTAAATAAGTCGGAATTACGATACCTTATTTTAAGAGATAAATATGATTATCTCATCTGAGATAAATATGATTATCTCATCTAACATATTGACATTTACCCCATTTTATTTTATACTACATAAGTACCCATTCCAAACATTTTATTTAGATGGCACCCGTTAAGCATTGATAAAATATATTTACAATATTTGCCGATGTTATCGAAGGGATATCGCGTTTCCACTGTAAAATAATACCATACATTTCGGATTGAACCTGTCAATCAAATATAACGGGTTTTCAAAACAAGAACAATCAGTATTCCGTAGATATGTTATTTTGACAAAGAAAATTACAAAAAGGGCCTTGTTGTAAAACACAAAAAATAAAGTCATTATAAAGGTTTACACTACCACAAATGATAAATACATAAATAAATAAATGAATAAATTAATTAATTAATTAATTAATTAATTTATTAATAAATAAATAAATTAATTAATTAATTAAGAGAAATATGAATAGATGATTGAATAAATGAATAAATGAATGAATGATTAATTAATTAATTAATTAATTAATTAATTAATTAATTTATTTATTTATTTATTAATTGATTGATTGATTGATTGATTGATTGAATAAATACATGAATGAATGAATGAATGAATGAATACTTCCTTTATAGAAATAATTTGGCCTAACATTATGGAAGGGTAATAACGCAAATATTACATCTTGCTTTCTTACATTACATCGTGCTTTCTAACTTATACATCTTGCATTCTGATTTGTACATCTTGCAGAAAGCATAATATGCATGTAACAAAGCAACAGGTAAAAGTCAGAATGCAAGATGTACAAGTCAGAATGCAAGATGTACAAGTCAGAATGCAAGATGTACAAGTCAGAATGCGTTATTATTGTTATACATTTTAAAGTGTGGTGGCATTGGTTAAATATACTGACAATACACCAATGACATTTCATTAGCTTATCTTATGATTGACATTTTATTAGTCGTATACCGTTATCTGAACAATTTAACTAGAATAAAAATGTGTAAATACGAAATGATAATGAAGACTGATGATGATGATGATGATGATAATGGTGATGATGATGATAATGATAATGATGATGATAATAATGATGGTGATAGTGATAATAATGACGATGACGATGGTGACAACATACCTCAACTTGTACGTCATCATTCGGAACAACTCGCACAAAGTTCGGATATTTTTCAGCATCCCCAAGCCGTGCTGCGGTAGTTGAAAATCCCACCTGTACTAAACGACTCTCCTTTGAAACTGAGCTTAGAATGGGTGAAATAGCTTCTGCTTCAGAACTGAATTCAGGACCAATAACTCCTTCAGACAACAAAAGAAGCAAAACGGTTAGTAACTGTGATCATTTTCAAAATATAAAATACAATATACATATGTTTACAAACGATGATATGTTGATTTCTATTCATTATTTTGACTCAATATGTTTCTCGAATAACATTAGCTTATTGCGGTTACACTGTGTACATATACTAGTCTCCATAAACAGATTTTGACATGTTATGTGGCCTATTAACAGATTTCGACATGATATACATCCTATTTACAGATATTTTACAGTTTATATAGCCTATTAACAGATTTTGACATGTTATACGGCGTATAAACAGATTTAGACAGATTATATGGCCTATTTATAGATTTTGACATGCTATATGGCCTTTCAACATATTTAATCAGGTTATATATCAAAAAATGTAGAGTTACACGAGGCCTAAGGCGAATTCTGGTGTAGTAAATATAGTAAATTGCTGTTTATGCGTAAACTGTCAAATATATTTTGAAGAATTTATAATACTGTACATCTGATTCAATTGATTTAAATGAAATAAAAACAAACATATTTGCAGCCTCTTAGTAAACCAGCAAGATTGGCCATTAAATTGATATTACAAACACGCAGTATAATGAAAGAAAAGGAGCGTTCTGCTTAAAAATACCTCGGATGCGACTTTTGTCATGACAAAACCAACATAATGGGTTTGCGATCATCATGGATCCAGATCAGGATCCATGCTGTTCGCTATCAGTTTCTCTACTTGTAATAGGGTTGGTAAGCGAACAGCATGGATCCTGATCAGATTGCGCGAATGCAAAGGCTGGTCTGGATCCATACTGGTCGCAAACCCATTATGTTGGTTTTGTTATGGCACGACTCATTAATAAAAACGAACATATTTGCAGTCTCGTGTATAATGAAATAAAAGGAGCGTTCTGCTTGGATGTGACTTTTGTGAAAAGACATCGTTTTAAGAAATATAAATACTATGTAAAGTCACTTTAAATAGTTGCTTTAAGTTATAGTTAAAGGCTGCGACTGTAGTGTATTTCATAGTGTACAATTACGATCTGCTGACGTATGAAAATAATTTAAACATTATAACATAACTAGTTACGCTTCAAAAATCAGGTATATGACGTTGAAACATCCATTAATAAAAACTGAAATGACATTTCGTTAAAGAATCACACCAAAATATTTGAAGGTTTATGTTTGAAATGTACAGGATGAAGTTATTGCTTAATATAGAGCCTTGATTTGTATTGTTGATAACATCCTGCTGCAGGAATATAATTTGGTTTCTGAGAATGTAGGAAAAAAAACCCCACACGTCAAAACCCACACCTCAAAATTTTATAGAGTGGACAAAACCCCACCCCTAAATTTTAGAGAGTGGACAAAACCCCACACCTTTAATTTTGTAGAGTGGACATTACCCCACACCTTCTAATTATTTGTTATAAAACCATACAATTCATTTGATTTTGATCTTGTTAGAAAAGAATAAAACAGAATATTTACTTAAGTTTGATATAGTTACTTTAATTATTTTACATAGTTTCTTTGATCACGATAATTAATGGTATGTTATATTTTATTTCAATATATATCAGTAACAATACAATATGATTAAATGATAACAGACTAGACAAATATTGCAAACCGTTAAATAAAAATCAAAGGATTAGATTTCAATATTACAAACTGTTATATAAAAATCAAAGGGTAAACATTCATTAATCTTAATTAGTATTAGTTATTCAAAGTGTCAACAATGCCACTTATTTTATTGTCAGTCACAGGTCTATACATATATAAAAATAATAAAAGTGTGGGGCTATGTCCTCTCTGTAAACTTCTCCAAATCCCTCCAGAGGCGTGCACGTCGCGGAGAAGGCACACGGCAGGTCAAGGTCAAGTCATCTTAAGTACCAGAGGTGATTGGTTGACCTGTCGTGACTAACTCTGGAGGGTTGGCGCTAATGAGAGCCGTTTTTTGTTATTGTCAGTCAGGAACATGATGCCTTGACAGTATTGTCGTCTCCTCTTCCACCAACAAACGAAGAATGGGTACCAGGAAGATTCAGCTTGACAAAGACGTTCCCGATGAGACTACCTTAGTGGACCGGCAAGGATGCTAAATTCTCGGACATATGGTTATTCCGGCGCCGAGTATAAATAAACTGAAATTGACTGACTGACTGACTGACTGACTGACTCTCTGTAAAATTGAAGGTGTGGGTTTTCTCCATTCTATAAAATTTAGGTGTGGGGTTTTGTCCACTTTATAAAATTTTGAGGTGTGGGGATTCGACATGTGGGGTTTTGTCCGTCTTCCGGTTTCTGACAATGCTTGGAAAAGCCCACTGGCATAACATTGATTTTGATGTATATATTAAGTGTTATCTTGTATTTATTATATATATATATATATATATATATATATATATATATATATATATATATATATATATATATATATATATATATATATATATATATATATATATATATATATATATATATATATGTGTGTGTGTGTGTGTGTGTACTTTATATTGATACTGAGCTGTTCTTTGTAAACAGCATATTTAGTGATCAGTATATCTTGTCACTATAAACAATATAATAAACAAATAGCAGCTGATGTGAGAAGAGGGTATCTAGCTAACGCAAGGGCGAATGTTCTACCTAAGTTACCCTTCGTGCATGAAAAATGTATACATGAAATACTACTTAAGTTTGAATATTAAAAAAAAACCAAATAATACATAATTTGACTAGTTACCTAGGATAGTTTTATTGGTAAGTGCCTTGTTCATCAGTTTGATGGAAATCTCAGACGCTTTGCTCACCAGACGACATGTTTCATGCCCTTCGAAGCCTGTAATTTACATATGAGCCGCGTCATGACAAAACCAATATTATGCGTTTGCTACCAGCATGGATCCAGACCAGCCTGCGCATCCGCGCAGTCTGATCAGGATCCATGCTGTTCGCTATCAGTTTCTCTACTTGTTATAGGGTTTGTAAGCGAACAGCATGGATCCTGATCAGACTGCGCGGATGCGCAGGCTGTTCTGGATCCATGCTAGTCACAAACGCACTATGTTTGTTTTGTCATGACGCGGCTCATATATTTACAAATTTACAATATACATATATGTGTGTGTACATAGATAACTATAATTCTAAAAATGCTGGATTTAACAAACCGTCGATATTAGACAAAAGACAATAATAATTTTTGAAATTTTAGATTATCCAAGTATTCAAATAGAATAAAATGTTATTCTGGTCAAAACTTGACATATAACACAATATGTATACATGTATTTCTCGTTCTTTAGAAATTTATCATATATTACATATTATGCTGATTATATGAAACCATATTTGCAAGAATATAAACCAAAAAAATACAACGATATTTTATTGTCGTAATAAATAAATAAATAAATTAACCAGTTAATTAATCAATTTATTTATTTCAAGCTTTCTATTTTTTAATTTATGAATATTTTTTTTTTTTTTAAATCAGCAAATTATATTTAAGAAACAAGATTGCATTTGAAAAAAATGCTTATGCCACCGCGTGGTTCAAATTTCATAGCTGTACATCAAAGGACAAGAAAGTAGGTCACATTATCAAAATCTAGGTCAAAGTTCAATTTTACAACTAAAACTGTGCACATGGTCAAAATGTCATTGCTGTACATCAAAGGACAAGAACGTAGGTCACTGTCTCCTTGGACAAGGCATAATTTTGACCCAAGGGTTTAATAACAATCTTGATACAGGTCCATCAAACAGCATTTCAAGTCAAATATCTAAGCTATAGCTTTCTCCCATTCAGAAAACATTTCAATATTTTCTGTTTTTAATACGTGTACATAATGAGAATCACTGCCCCCCGGGCAGGGCCAATTTTTGACATTTGAACAACTTTGGTAGAAGACCTATAGATGATATTATATATAAAAAAAGCTCTATGCCTTGAACCTTCAGACAAAAATATACTTTTTTTTTTCACTATATGTACATAATGAAAATCAATGACCCACGGGGCGGAACCAATTTTGACCCCATGGCTATAATTTGAACAATCTTGCTAGAGGTTCACTTCACAAGGTTTCATGCAAAATATCTTAACTCTATACTTCGTAAATTTAGAGAAGATGATTTTTTAAGTTTTAACTATACACATATAAGATAAACCTATGGCTCCCAGGGGCGGGGCTAATTTTGACACAAGAGGCAAAATTTGAACAACTTTGGTAGAGTACCTTTAGATGATATTATTTAACAAATATTAAAGCTCTAAGCCTTGTACCTTCAGACAATAATTTTACTATATTTATATATTGAAATCAATGACCCCCAGGGCTGGGGCAATTTTGACCCCAGGGCTATAATTTGAACAATCTTGCTAGAGGTTTACAACACAATGTTTCATGCAAAATATCTGACCTCTAGCATTTGTCAATTGCTAGAAGAATTTTTTTAAGTTTTTACTAGAAACATATAAGGAAAACCAATGACCCCTGGGGCGGGGCCGATTTTGACCCCAGGGCTATAATTTGAACAATCTGTGTAGAGGTCTACCAGACAATGCCTTATGCAAAATATCTAAGCTCTATGCCTTTTGGGTCTTTACAAGGAGTTTTAAGTTTTTACTATATGTACATATAGCGAAAATCAATGACTCCGGGGCGGGGCTGATTTTGACCTAAGGGCTATAATTTGAACAATCTTGATAAGGGTCTACCAGATGATGCCTTATGCAAAATATCTAAGCTCTAGGCCTTTTGGGTTTTTACAAGAAGGTATTTAAAGTTTTTACTATATGTACATAGTGAAAATCAATGACCCCCGGGGCGGGGCCAATTTTGACCCCAGGGCTATAATTTGAACAATCTTGTTAGAGGTCTACCAGACATTGCCTTATGCAAAATATCTAAGCTCTAGGCCTTTTGGGTCTTTACAAGAAGATTTTTTAAATTTATTCTTATAATTCCTTTTGGTTGCCATGGCAACCAGATTTCTGCATGGAATGAAATTCTTTGAACAACTTTGGAAGCCCTTCACCCAAGGAAGAATCCTGCCAAGTTTGGTTGCAATTGGATAAGTAGTTTTTCACAAGAAGATTTTTTAAGTTCACCATATAATCTATATAACACACTCACACACACACAAACGCACAAACACACAAACACACACACAGGTGAATCGCTATATGCCACCGCATCGCAGATTGCGGTGGCATAAAAACAGTTTCAAGGCTTGCCTAGTAAATAACAAAAAATAAACAGGGTTAAGTAAAATGTGTCCGTTTTTCTTTTACATGACCGAAATAGGCAATGGAAAAAAGAAACAGCGTCTACCAACCACCCACCCCCCCCCCCCCCACCAAAAAAAAACTCATCAAAAGTATATAAAAAATAAATTTAAAAAAAAAACATAACTAACAGAGCTAAAATGAATTATTCGCGCATTCATTAAAAGTAAATCATGTCTGTTGCAGTGAAATACCCTTTGGTCCAGTATTATTGAATATCATTTTATTGCCTTTGTTTATATATAAAAATAACAACAACAAAAACAAAATTATTAGCAACTGTATAATGAATAAAAGCGAACTAAAGCGAATTAAAAAAGGATTGTACAATGAAATAAATATACAACGATGTTCAGTACGAAATTGCGAGTGAAATGAAGGCATTTCATAATTAACACAGTTATTCTTTCTAACCTTAGTGTACAGTACAAGTCTCGTCACGATAGACTTTTGGTGTATAAGAAAAAAAAAGTTTTGTAAATTAAACTTCTTAAAACATGCCCACCAATTTTAAAAGGAAGGTTGCCATATTGGTTTAATCCTTCAATGTACCATTTCATCGCCTCTGACGTCATCACAGAGGAAGCGCTCAGGCCTAATCCGCATGAATCCCCTTCTGGTTTGTGCACTTGGAATAATCCAACAATTGTTAAATCCCCATTTACATTTATAACCTGTAAATGCACCCTATCAACAAGAACAAAAACTGTCGAAAACGGCAGCAAGAAAGTGTAAATGTTCATATTTATGTTAAAACAAGATGAGTTAGTTAAAGTAGAAAATCTATTTATTTGTTTTCATTTAAAATTTCAAATAAAATAACGCGTTTGCCATAAAGCAGTACTACGATCACAATAAGGCAATTTTATACAACTTACTGCTTTTCTATTAATTTTAACACCGGGTATCAAGTTACAAAATGTCTTTATATGAAATTATAACGCGTAATTTAAACCAAACACTGTAATGATTAGCAAGTAAAAAGAAAAGTAAAGAATTTATAAACTATGTTCATAAATTCTTAGCGAATTACATATGATCAACATAAAAACCAATGAATACAAACTTTTGCTATTTATATGAAAATAAATTTACGGAAAATAAGAATGTTAGATACAAAAAGCGGGTTATTCGCTTTATTCCAAGACAGAAACGTTTTGGTTGAACATTGACCATAACCTGTCTTGTTGTAGTGTTACATTTGAGTCAACCTTGCATTAAAAGTTCAATATCTATATGTGTCAGTTCAGTGAATCAAATTTAAAGTGCTTTAGTTTTATAATGAATAGTATCTGAGTAGAAGCAGACAAAAACTATATCTAATTGAAGGATTGCTTTTTTGTGAACACAGAAATAGGTTTCAATTTACATTGCATATCTGAGTATATAGCTATGCATTGTTATATATGTATCTAAGAAGTTTTTACATAACAATTTATTTTGAAGAAGATCTGAAAGAAGGAAGAGCCCTCAAAAGAAGTGAAAACAATAGTAAAATAGCGAAAGTTGCTGACTCTGACCTCTACTCGTTTTCTCATGTTATTGTGACCTTTCCTGTCTAAAATGATATATATGCATAATGAAACAATTCGTTATGTCGACCTGTGATATTACATTTTACCCGCGCGTGTGTCTTAAGAAATTTGAATCGAACGAAGATCTCTTGACGCATTGGTGCCAACAATCATAAATTTATTTTTCCGCGACATAGAATAATATATAGGATTATGATATGTTTAAAAATAACATACCCTCATATTTTTTTTCAAAAATTCCCCTTGTAATTAGCTCAACAAATTTGGCAGGACTTTATGGCGAACTTGGTAGGGAACCAATAAAACTTGTCAGGTAAACACACATGGTCAGGTACTTGTTTAAAATTAAATAAATAAAGATAAATGTTAATGCTAAAACAAAATGAAGTTAAAAATGTCCACGAACGTGGTTTATCAGATAAATGAACCGGCTCACATAAATAATAAAAAAACTTATGTCTGTTAAACAACGAGTAAAACTGGATATAAGAGATAAATAATTCTAAAGGTCATAAACATACTGTAGAATGCAGTACATGTACACGTTTTCTGTGAAACCGTATCTTCATTGTGAACTGTTTAGAAAGACGTTTAAAATGTTTTAAGAGAATTTTATCTATTTTCACGATAGGCAAATATCATTCAGGTCAGTGCATGGGCTATGTACAGAAAATTGCAGCGATACACGGGTCTTCGATTTAAGTTCATGTATTGTTATTTTTGGAGCGGGGATGAAACATGGATTATCCGTCCAACGCGTCACCACTGGACCAGGAATCCACTCTTTTGGATATATCTCATGTTCTATTTATATTTGTTGGCACAGGTCTGCACGGTAATTGCTTTAAATTCAAATCACCAGTGGTGAATAATAAAATATGATACGGGTAAGGTTTAAAGATTTTGTTTTACTCTTTTAAATTGGCAAAAACGCTTATACTTCAAGTTTACCCAAAAGAACCGAGGTAGTTTATTGTTAATGTACCGTAGTAAATTGAAATAAGTGTGTAAAGTAGAATAAATTGTTTAACGTTGCATGTAATTGGTTGAAATTTTATCCAATCGCAAATCAGGCAAAAAAAATGTGAAACTGCAATGTGATATTCATGAATAATTTACTTATCTGTCATTATATAAATGTAGGTTTTAACGAATAATGACAATGTAAATTATATTAAAACTATTAAAAAAATGATTATCGAAGAAATATAACACCCCGTGGGATGATTATCATCTATTTCTTTTTAAATCCAATGCGGTAATATTAAACTAGATAAGTGAAACGAAGCATCAATAATTGTCACTTCTTTTGTGTTGCAGGACGCATTACAGAGCATTGGTATTCAGAGGATGGTTTGAAGTTGTTTTATCAGTATGTTATTACTGTCCTGCTGGGCTGTACGTTAAAGACGAATCAAATTCAAATATATTATTCATATCATCTACTAAAAAAATGTATCTATTCCAAGTAATCATGACAGTTTCTAAATAATCTACAAAAGCTTTAACGAACACACATTTCCATGCAACCAAGACATTTTCCATTTAACTTAAAAATGTATGTAACAAGCACACATTGCATGTAAAAAACATCTTATTTGTATCATTAAATCGAAAGAGGAAGATTTAGCGCAAATAGCTAATTATATTTATATATATAAAAAAGAAATGCAAATAGAAGGAAAGATTACAACATATTCATGCCAGTCGGATGTTTTCCGAATAAATTATTTCACTCAAGTTAGTTTCTACCTTTATTGTTGTATGTTATAAAACTGACGAATAAATTTTGATTTAATGTTGATTTGTTTGGGTTTTACGTCACACCGACATATGGCGACGTTCCAGCTTTACTGGTGGAGGAAGACATCAGGTGCCTTCCATGCATTATTTCAGACACAAACGCGGGCACCTGAGACAAATAAGCGGGAAAATGCAATGCGTGTCGTGTGTACATTTAATCAATACAACTGGTATGTTTGAACACACACAACATGGACAAGGCAGCACATCGAGATATTTTATACCTTATTTGGATTTGCGATAATTGAAAACTGGGCATATAACAAAGAAAAACACAGTTAAAACATTCTTATTTTCAACGTTACATTACATATTTTTTCCTGTCCATCACTAAATTGTTTTTAGCAGAGAATGGCTACTGCTACTCCTGAGCTACTGCCACTGCCAACTTCATTTTTTAAAAAATTTTGCTATTGCTGCACTACTGTTACTGCCAGCTTAACGTTTTAAAATTATGCTACTCCTACTCCTGAGCTACTGCTTCTGCCAACTTCATTTTTGTGTCGCCTTTACGGAGTAGTGGCGACATATAGGGGTCACTTCTCCGTCGTCTGTCCGTCGTCTGTCTGTCCGTCTGTCTGTCCGTCTGTCTGTCTGTCCATCCGTCACAAAACTTGTCCGGACTACTCCTCATAAACTACTGGTGCAATTTCATCCAAACTTTACAGGAATGATCAGTACCAAGTCTAGCTGTACATTTTGTCAGCATTTTCCGATTCAATGAATTTTGGCCCTTTAATAATTTTTATTTTTAAAGTGTGTCCGGACTACTTCTCTTATACCACTAATGCAATTTTAATGAAACTTTACAGGATTGATCTGTAGCTCAAGTCCTTGCACCTATTGCACGGGTTTTTTCGGTTGAATGATGTTTGGCCGAGTTATGGCCCTTTGATAAAAATGTGTTTTTTTCTGTGTGTTGCCAGATACACAAAAGCTTGTCCGGACTACTCCTCATAAACTACTGGTGCAATTTTATCCAAACTTTACAGGAATGATCAGTACCAAGACTAGTTGTGCACTGTCCGTCTGTCTGTCCGTTTGTCACAAAACTTGTCCCAACATGAAATTGGCCATCATGAGGCGACACATGTGATCACTGATCGCTCTTGTTTATAGTTTTGCTACTGCTACTTCTGCACTACTGTTATTGCCAACTTCACGTTTTATAATTATGCTACTGCTACTCCTGAGCTACTGCTTCTGTCAACTTCACGTTTTAAAATTATGCTACTGCTACTGCTAAGCTACTGCTACTGCCAACTTCACGTTTTAAAATTTCGCTACTGCTACTACTGAGCTACTGCTACTGCTAACTTCACGTTTTATAATTTTGCTTCTGCTACTGCTGTGCTACTGCTACCTTCACGTTTTATAATTTTGCTACTGCATGCTACTGCTGTGCTACTGCTACTGCTAACGTCACGTTTTATAATTCTGCTACTGCGGAGCTACTGCTCCTGCCAATTTCAGGTTTTATTATTTTGCTACTGCTGAGCTATTGGTACTGCCATTTTCACGTTTTATAATTTTGCTACTGCTACTGCTGTGCCACTGCTTCTGCCAATTTCATTTTTAATAAGTTTGCTACTGCTACTCCTGAGCTACTGCTACTGCCAACTTCACGTTTTATAATTTTGCTACTGCTGAGCTACTGCTACTGCTACCTTCACGTTTTATAATTTTGCTACTGCTACTGCTGTGCTACTGCTACTGCTAACTTTACGTTTTATAATTTTGCTACTGCTACTACGGAGCTACTGCTTATGCCAATTTCACTTTTTATAATTTTGCTACTGCTGAGCTACTGCTACTGCCAACTTCACGTTTTATAATATTGCTACTGCTACTGTTGAGCCACTGCTACTACCAACTTCACGTTTAATAATTTTGCTACTGCTACTGCAAACTTCACGTTTTATAAATTTGCTACTGCTACTTCTCACTGCTACTGCTAACTTCCTACCGGTAGATATTTATCATAAATCTAAAGATGTGGGGTAATGACATCATGCGCACCTGTTTTTATACGGTCAATACACAAACATGGCCGCGCCTACTGATTTGTAGAAATCGGTGATTTAGCGATTTAAATTTTGTTATTATTCGTTAAATATTATGTATATGTTAGTGTTCATCCGTGCTGTTCTACAGAAATTAGAAACTTCGACGGGAGCGATAGCGACAGGAGAATGTGAACAGCACGGATGAATACTAACATATTTAGTGTCAAGCTTTATTTGGCCTCGTTATCATTCACTTTATCACGTCACTATGCGGTTCTATGAAGTACTATGAAAAATAGAAGTTGACTATGGACGAATTCGATATAGTATCGACTTTTGTTCTTCTATCAAAATTAATGCACAGAAATACAGCGTTTTCATTGGATGACAAATAAAGTTGGACACTTATATTTAAAGGCAGATATTTCTGATATCAAGTTTTTATTCTAACATTGGTGTTCCCTTTAACATATCTACATTTCATGTTTTTGATATATCGCTGATTTCATGACGTAAACGTCCGAGAAATTAAAGGCTATAAATATTGTTCATGAGATATGATAAATTTAATATTGTACTTACTTTTTCCCCATTGGTTTACACGTGTTTGCTGAAGATATAGATGATAAGTTGTTCAATGTTAATACTTATTCAACTAGCTACATGATTACCACCCGTTGTACTTACCACTTATTAATTAAAGATCAAAGTTTCTACAGCTATACCATCATTAAATATGAATGCGTAAATCGTAAACTACGGAAACTAACGGAAAACCTCCCGAAAAGAAATCCGCCTTAGGGTCTATAATGCCAAACAAAATCAACAATATTTTTTTTCATTTTTTTTTCATCATGTGTGCCTATATTTCTTTTAATATTCATACAACAAAACTCCAGAGAATGAAGTGAAACCACGAGAACAATAGATCTTAACATCGGCATACACAAATGTTGTTACCCATACTGAGTATCCCTTTTGTAAGTGTAGCACAACGAAATTTGTGCCTTGAGCGTCGTGTCCTTGCTACACCTGCAACTTTCCCCTGGCCGTCAACAATGTGCATCCACAATTTATGGGGCTCATAACCAGCACCAAACGCTAGGTAAAACATGTAAACACCTTCCTTTGGTACTGCAAAACACCTGAAAATTTAATCACAAAATAAACCATGAAAATATGTAAGTGAATCATATAGCTAATACAAAACAACCTATAGTATCCTAAACATGATTTTTTAAACATGGATAATTTCTATCTATATTTAGAGTTATTGTATTAGAACAAACCAATTAAGTGTACAGTATATTACCGAATTGCACCGATCTTGACAAGGTTATTATGATCCTTTGAATTTTTTAAGTATAATGTTCCCTTGACTCTATTTATTATTGAATTCTAGTTTCAACCCCAATTGCAGTAACTTGCTTCATAACATATTAAAGCATAGAATTGCATTTAGGATATGTACAGATTTTCAAGTCAATAGCCGATTTCTAATAAAGACTATCAATAAACTTAATTAGATTGTTTTTTCCGATTGTAGGTAGCTTTGGTTGAGAAGTGACAAAGGTAATTTCTCCCATGCCTCCTGACTAAAGCTAAAGGGATATATGTCATTTGACCTTACATTTAAGAAATAATTAATTTTCCTCTTACTACGTTTTTTTGTTTTACTTTATTATCATTTTTATTCCTAGTTAAATGTTTATGTACCAGTATGGCTGTTGTAGGCATTCCCATCATTAAGAAGGACCTTGTTAAATATCACAGTCTGGTCAATTCCAGCGTGGTCAACACTATGGTCAAGAATAGCCGAAAATGCAAATGGAATCTCTGGAAAAGATCTTCTTATTCTCCCACCTAAAATGCATGTAAATTATTAAAAGCATTTTTAAGAAGTGTGACATAGATCTAAGTGTGACCTTTGGCCAAGAGTCATGGTTCATGTGCCGGGCACTACGCCACATGGCGATGAAAAAGTCTGTAAAGTAAGATAGAAATCCCTCTATACAGATAGTAAATATGCTATAGACAATATATGGGTATTAAATTATCTTTAGTGACCTTAATCTTGCAAATATATTGACCTAAATTACTAGTGTCACACCTGTGGTCATTATAGTTACCATCTGTGTAACAATCCATCAATAAATGACGACTCAATGGTTCCTATACGCATTTTCATGTGTTAAGAGACACTCCGACTGACAATGGCAACATTTATGGCAAGGTATATTACAATCCCCTATCAATGTAGAAGTTTTGCTGTGTGTTCCGGACAATCGTTTTTCAAATTAGTTCTAAGTGTTACCTTGACCTTGACCTAGATACCTGGATGATGCGTGGAGCAAAACGTTTTATGCTGGTGACTTTTTTCTAAAGTATTATAAAAGAATTTCATGGATGTAGGAGATATATGCAGACAAAATATGATTATTTTATCATCTTAAGGTATCTGGACCTTGCATATATTAACCTATTTTTTGCATTGTGTGGTGCCACAGCAATAGTCATGGTAATGATCATTTGTGTTACAATCCAGCAATAAATACCACTACACATCTTCATATTTTTATCTGGAATTTGATCTCTATATGTGACCTTGATCTTTGCCGCAGAGACCTTAATAAGCGCGTGACAGTCCGCCTCAGAATAGTGAACAATTGTGCCGAGTTATTCTAAAGTCCCTTTATGCAGGTAGATTATTTGCTCTTGACAAGCATTTTTCAATGACATCTAAGTATGACCTTGTTTTTTTACCTAGAGACTAGAGACCTGACTCATGTGCGCGACACGGCTTCGTATAGTGGTGAACATATCTATTAAAATCTGAAATTAATGCTTTAATCAGTCTAATTTTAAGCTAATAATTACAAATCACTTTACATGTGTTACAGATGCTCTGTGAATTAAACATACTTTGCACCGAAAAAATATTAAAATTTGTGAATTATCGAGAGAACAATAAGCATTAAGTTGTTGGCCCAGATGGCCGAGGTAGCTACATTCAGTTATACATGCATCGTTTTCTTTGGCAGATAAGTCACCAATTGTGAAACAATAAACAATTTTTATGATCTTCATACAATAGAACTTCACCTATCAGAATGATAACAATAATTTGTCAAATTACCCTTCCATATTATGCATAATATTTATTACCAGAATATTTCTTTATTGCACGTGTGCTGTTTTGTTTTTCCAATGGTTGGTCTTGCCATACCTTATCGTCAGTTGTTTTTTCAACGTACGTTTTTTGTTGTCATTCTGTAAACGTTCGATCTCTGCTCGTTGTGTTTCAATGGTTCTTTCATTATTCATAACTTGCCTCTCTAATTGAATGATACGTGTCTCTAACAATTTATTTTCCCTATTTAACCTTGTTTGTTGCAGCATCAACACGGCAACACGAGATTCCAATATCTGTACTTGTCGAGTTAGTTGCCTTTGAAATGAGAGTTTTTTCATTGAGAGCCGTTGGTCAACCTGATGTGTAAAAGTAAAATGAAAAGTCTTCTGACAAGTTATTTCTATTTTGTGATGTTGTAACTATGATAATATATCAGTAACTGAGTGCACTAGATTTGATTTTAGCCCCTTCTTTTTACAGAACCTTTAAGTACCTGCAAATGATTAAAATATGAAGAGAAATAATTTTACCTGCTTTCGTCAATACATCATTTTATGCAAAATGCTTTACAATAAAATACATTATTAAATCATAATTCAACATTTTGTCCAATATTTTTTATCATTAAAGTGAATATAGACGCGACTTAAAAGAAAAGTCTAAGAACATTTGTTTGTGTGTCGACTCGCACATTTTTTTTGGCATCACAGAAGATTCCAAAATTAAACGGCAAAATAGAAAGTTCATCTATATAATATAGTCTTACCTTTTTCTCTAAGTGTATCTTTTAATAAGATCTTCATAAGTGTCATCAGAAGCAGCTGTCATTCCTAACAAACGTGCCGTTAAAAACACCACTAGCACCAATGTTCCCCTTGACATCTTGAAAGTCAGAACAAAGTGTCAATTGTTCAACAAGTTATTTTTACATGATTATAAAATTTCACTTGTTCTCTTATCTGTTGAGCATGACTGTGTATATAGTCTGATAACGGTCTTTCTTCCCTGTGTTTTTTTGTTGATTTTACTTCAAACACAGTTGAGATCACTCGGAGACGTTTAAGCTTTACTGGTGGAGAAATATCTCAGATACCTATCTGTGCATTATTTCAGACATAAGCGGGCACTTGTTCCAAAAGTCGACCAAAATAATCATTATAACCGATTACAGCGATTCCAGATTTTGTTAAAGAGGAGAGGACATAATTGTCAAGCAGTTAACGAATATCGCCAGGAAAAAAAATGCAATATTATTTTACTATATTTAGATAGTTTTTGAGACCATGACTAAAGTCCACGTGTTTGCCTTTGTGAATAGAGTACAAAATTGTCAGTGCAGTAAAAGTTAGTCCTAGTAACATGTAACACTTTTATATATTGAACTGTGAATAAGTTTATCTAGTGATGACAGCCCGAATATTAAAGACAATGTTTCTGCGGTGTAAAAAAATAAATATACATGTCATAATTATAAAAAAGAGTTTTATTTTTCATGTTTTTCATATTGATAATTAATATTTATACAACAAAACTCTGGAAAATGTTGTAAAACCAGGTGCACCATAGATCTTAACATCAACTACCGCAAACGTTGAAACCCATACTGAGTATCCCTTTTGTAAGTGTAGCACAACGAAATTTGTGCCTTGAGCGTCATGACCAGGGCTTATTGTGTCGCCTTCACCGACAACTTTCCCAGTTCCATCAACCACAATGTGCATCCACAATTTATGGGGCTCAAAACCAGCACCAAACGCTAGGTAAAACATGTAAACACCTTCTTTTGGTACTGTGAAAACACCTGAAAAATTAATTTCAGAAGAAAAGAAAGAAATGAAGCTGAAATAGAATAACTTAAAATGTCACGAACTCGACGTGTAATTTTCAAATATACAGGATATATTATATTAATGATGAAGTTGAAAAGAACAAGCAATCACCTTTCTGCTTTCAATATAAAAAGGTAATACTGTTCTCCTACAGCTGCGAGATTTACTTAAATTCTTATTTTCATAATGCACATTGTAGAAACATAAGATTCATCACTCTAAATAATAAAGCATTCGTGTTAAGAACGATATTGATCATATTATTTTATCAAGTCTGGCAACATTTTCCAAAACCTCAAAACGTTTGGCATTAATTGAATTTAATTTTGCTTCTCCTTTGTAGAAAATATCCTTAAATTGTTTACCGGGTTCTATAACATAAAAAGTTAATATATAAAAAGTTATGCATCTGCGTATTGGAACCTGTCCTGTAATGTGGACGCTAGTTTGTTGAATGCGATGCCGATGCTACTGATATGGAAAGTGACCTTACTTTTGATGCTGGTTCTATAGATTGCCGCTGTATCAGAGTTATCATTGGAAACGTCGCATACCTGGCTTTCGTAATCCACTATTCTGATTTACTAGTGACTATCATTAGCATTAAATATTTCTTCGTTCTGTACGTGCTGTACGGAGGACTGTCGTCTTCGGTATCCCTTTTCAAGTAAACTGTGCATCTTTGTACGTGTTTGGGTAACACAGGTGCAATAAACATTGCAATGTTGTCATACTGTCTCATTCAACCTCCTGGGTTTGATCAACGTCACTTTGGACATCGAAAAATTGTTTGTGTTCTTCAAGCTCCTCCGTTCACGTTTAAATTGATGCCGTTGTTTTCCAGTTGGGCATCTTTTCTTTACGGTTCTTTCACTTATTTCCTAGTCTTTGCAACTAGCATTTCAGATCACTGAAGCGCTACACGAATGCTCACTACTATACCTCTTCTTCTGTATCATTTATATAATTTTGTCTTCTTCTCGATACACAAATACACTGTATTATAACAATATTAGGTATCGGTTGTTTGGATGTCTGGTGGTGCAGTCCTTGACGTTCACCAAACACTGCCTGGAAACGTTCATATTTCTCACAAGCTTTGTTGTACATTCCATGCACTTTTATCATAATTTTGAAATGATAACGTTCGAGTTAATCAAATGTTTTCGTCAGTTGACAGAGGTGTCAGGTTTGCGACAAAAATGTAGGTATAATGATAACGTAATTATCGGCAAATATACATTGGTATTTTGCTTTATTCAAAAACACAATGTAATGGCATTTCTGCGCATATTTTTACAAATAATGATATAGCAATATCGTCAATAGAGGAAACGTTGAAGTTCGCAATAAATAAACAAATAAATTAGTAATTTAAGTTAATAAATAAAAAACTATAAAGTAATATTACAACCAACATGACCAGAATAATCAATAATTCTTGCTTATAAATAATGATCAAGATATTTATGGAGAAACTATTCACTTAACACACATGCCTACCAGTTGTTAAGTTTTTCAACTGAAGGATTTCTATTCCAATAATATCACGTAAATAATTGGATTCTAATGAAAGTGTTAAATTCTATGCTTAATATACAGAAAATTAAAGTGCGAACTGGTTTATTAAATTAATTGTGATAATTTCATTTGAATTATGTTTTATACGTCTGCAAATACAAATCTGACTTTTTACAGTCATGTATATTGCAGCAATATTTCAACCCTTTAAGAATAAATAATTATTTGGGTTCGGCCTATTTTTGGCTTCTATAATATATTCACATTGGATAGTAAACAATGTGTTTGTAACATTAAAGACTTATACATTGTAAGGCCTAAAAATGAAACTTTAACACATAAGTGAAGCACTTACAAGAAAACATTCTGCAAAAGATGAAAAAAGAACTGTATTCAGCATTAAAATGAAAATCGCATATAAGTGTTTCTAAGCCGGATTTGGGTCAAAAGCGTTATCATTTTGGGTCATTTTTCACAAAAACAATCATTATTCTGGAAAATTGGGATCTGGAAATGAGCTGAAAATTTACACTCAAGTTTTGGTCTAGACTTATACCAATTGATCCGCAAACATTAAAAGAAAAACAGTCCTGTCATATCAAAAAAAAACCTCGTTGAAGTCCCTTTAGTTTATATGATATGTCTAAACTTCAAAATCGATTATCAAATGCTGCAAGGTGCGTCCGTTGCTGATTGCTTAAGGCCGTCGACTCCAAACCTCTTGAATTCCACCGCTGTAGGTTCGAGACGCACAAGCGTCTTTGGGTGCTGTCACATGATAAAGCTGTCCACCTAGCTTTTGGAACGTTCGTGGTTCTACTCAGGTGCCAGTTTGTTCCTGAAGTAACGCACAAAAGGGTACTTGAGGTCCTTATCCACCAGTAAAGCTTGTTTGTTGTAATTTGATCTATACATATAGATGCGACCTAAAAAGGACAATAAAAATGAATTCCGCATTATGATTTCAAATTCTAAATACCAAATTACTATGTGAATAGTCTAAATCAGTTTTTAACAATAAAAATCAAATAACAATTAAACAACGGAAAATAACGACGTCTTCAAACACAGCTACAACTAGCCTTAATGTGCTATTATACCATTATAATAAATGTACACAAATACACTGTATTATAACAATATTAGGTATCGGTTGTTTGGATGTCTGGTGGTGCAGTCCTTGACGTTCACCAAACACTGCCTGGAAACGTTCATATTTCTCACAAGCTTTGTTGTACATTCCATGCACTTTTATCATAATTTTGAAATGATAACGTTCGAGTTAATCAAATGTTTTCGTCAGTTGACAGAGGTGTCAGGTTTGCGACAAAAATGTAGGTATAATGATAACGTAATTATCGGCAAATATACATTGGTATTTTGCTTTATTCAAAAACACAATGTAATGGCATTTCTGCGCATATTTTTTACAAATAATGATATAGCAATATCGTCAATAGAGGAAACGTTGAAGTTCGCAATAAATAAACAAATAAATTAGTAATTTAAGTTAATAAATAAAAAACTATAAAGTAATATTACAACCAACATGACCAGAATAATCAATAATTCTTGCTTATAAATAATGATCAAGATATTTATGGAGAAACTATTCACTTAACACACATGCCTACCAGTTGTTAAGTTTTTCAACTGAAGGATTTCTATTCCAATAATATCACGTAAATAATTGGATTCTAATGAAAGTGTTAAATTCTATGCTTAATATACAGAAAATTAAAGTGCGAACTGGTTTATTAAATTAATTGTGATAATTTCATTTGAATTATGTTTTATACGTCTGCAAATACAAATCTGACTTTTTACAGTCATGTATATTGCAGCAATATTTCAACACTTTAAGAATAAATAATTATTTGGGTTCGGCCTATTTTTGGCTTCTATAATATATTCACATTGGATAGTAAACAATGTGTTTGTAACATTAAAGACTTATACATTGTAAGGCCTAAAAATGAAACTTTAACACATAAGTGAAGCACTTACAAGA